AAGCCCCCCTCCTGGTTCCCTGCTTGTTAACCCCCCCCCCCCCCGCTCCTCCCTCCCTCCCTCCCTCCCTCCCTCCCTCCCTCCCTCCCTCCTCTCCCTCCCTCCCTGATCAGATTGATCCCTCGTTCTACATTTTAAAGCTACTGACCACTCCGCCAGGCTGCAAGTTTTCCTCCCCCCAACCTCCTCACAGGAGCTCCATGCGCGTAATGTGATGAAGAGACTTGTGTTGTGTTGTTGTTGATTGTGTTATCAAGTTTTTTCATGTTGTTCCTGTAGTTGATGTTGAAGTTTTTTCATGTTGTTCCTGTAGTTGATGTTGTTGAAGATGACTTCTCCACTTGTGTTCTTGTTTTCTCTCGATTGTGAAGGGAACTTTTTACATAGATAAATCTTTTTACACTCTTGTCGCAAGCTCCTCCTCCTGCCCACACGACTCGTTACATCTTTCTCAGCAACTCAGCAGCAGTTGCGCTCGTCATTTTCGCTGCTCCTCCGACCTCCCCCGTCCTCGACTGTCTCTTTCCCCTTATTGCCTCTTCTCGTCAACCCTCCAGCACCCGCATGTGGCCCGAGCCTGCGGCTCCTCTTCCTCTTCCTCCCCCGTGCAACGCCTGTGACGTTGCTCCTCCTCGTAAGACGCTTCCTTCGGTATCGTCTCTCGAGCTCGTTTTTTGACCCCCTCCTCCTCTTCCGCCTGATCCTCGTGAGATCACGAGGATGTTTCAATTCCTCCTTTCTGCCTTGCCCTCCTTCCCGTCCTCATTCCCGTCCTCCTTCCCGTCCTCCTTCCCGTCCTCCTTCATCCCATCCTATCGATCAGTCGAGGGAAGGGAGATTTTTCCGTCGGAAACATAATTGCTCCCTGCACACTCATCATCGTCAAACAATCTCGCACAATCGCCTCCTCCTCTTTTCCTCCCTCCTGCTCTCCCTGCAGATCTTGGTTTTTGACTTCCTCTCCTCCTCCTCCTCCACCACCACCAACCTAGAGCCTCCTTGCCCTCTTCTTCCCCCTGCCTCCTACTCACCCTGGTAGGGTCAAGCTTGCCCTTGACTTTCCCGCTCTTGATGAGCAGGGATAGGATACACTCGAGCTCCTCCTCGTCCACATTCCATCCTCCTGCTCGTCATCAGCACACAAACAACGGGGAGGGGGGAGGGGAGAAGTTCAACTGACAAGGAGCAGAAAGCAAGGAATGAGGAGGAGAGCAGAGATCGATGACGAGGAAAATGACAAAGAAGAGGAACAGAGCAGGCCAGAGGGAGAGGTCGGCGATGGTGGCATTGATTGAGCAGGAGGAGCAGGAGGAGCAGGAGGAGCAGGAGGAGCAGAACGAGCGGGAGCAGAAGGAGCGGGAGCAGAACGAGCGGGAGCAGAACGAGCGGGAGCAGAAGGAGCAAGGGTAAGCAAACAGGATAGAGGGGATGGTCACCTGCATTGACTACTTGGCAGATGTCAGCTAGAAGAATCCTTGAGCTTGTTCCTCTCACTGAACACAAGAGGAAGGAACGCGGGTCAGGGAAGGCAAAGAAGGAGAAGGAGGAGCAGGAGCAGGAGCAGGAGCAGGAGCAGGAGCAGGAGCAGGAGCAGGAGCAGGAGCAGGAGGAGAAGGAGCAGGAGCAGGAGCAGGAGCAGGAGCAGGAGGAGAAGGAGCAGGAGGAGAAAGAGGACCTCGCTGGATGACAAGATGGGCTCGCTTGAGGAGGTTGCGGTAGAGAAGCATTCGCAATTTGGTGAGAGGAAGATAGATCTGCCGTACAGTTGAGCGTAAGGATGGAACAAAGAGAATGTGGAGGAGGAAGAAGGAATGGGAGAAGGAGACGATGAAGAAGAAGGACAAAGACGAGGGGGAAGCAGGAGGAAGCAGGAGGAAGCAGGAGGAAGCAGGAGGAAGCAGGAACCAGGGAGCACAAGCAGGACGAGGAGGTCAGAGAAGGAGAAAGAAGGGGGGGGAGGAAGAAGAAGATAGTAGAAGAAGGAGAGGAAGAAGAAATAGAAGCAGAAGCGTAGGAGGATCCGACCTCCTTCTTCACATAAAGATCTTCGTGGTCCCGGAGATTCTTCACACTCAAGTCACAACAAGCACGACAACAAAAAAAACTTCTCAGATGGTTTAGAAGCAGCAGGAGGAGAAGCAGGGGAAGGGAAAGACAAGACAAAGTGGAATGGAAAGAATTCAAAAATAGGAGGATAGACTACCACCACCACCACCACCACCACCACCACCACCACCACCACCACCAGCAAGAGGAGAAGAACGAGGACGAGGACGAGGACGAGGACGAGGACGAGGACGAGGACGAGGACGAGGACGAGGACGAGGACGAGGACGAGGACGAGGACGAGGACGAGGACGAGGACGAGGACGAGAACGAGGACGAGGACGAGGACGAGGACGAGGACGGGACACCTTTTCGAACACGCGTACATTCCC